GGAAGTGGCCTAGGCACTGGCTGCCTAACCACCGGGCGCACTGGCTGCGCACGAACAGCAACTGGACGAACGGGTGCCCGGGCTGGCTGCCGAGCAACTGGTCGTCCAAAAGGTCTCATAGCTGCGCGTCCTCTCCTCTGAGGGGGAGAGAATGCGGCAGCCTCGGAGGGGGTCGGCCCGCCTAGAGTGACGTACGCCGAGTCTATAAAAGAATCGAAGGTGATCCCCCCCTGCAGGTGGGTTCGACAGCAGGGACTCAGGGAGTGTCACCTGCGAGTCGAAGCCAAAGCAGAAAGTAACTGAAGAACCAGAGTACGCCATTGCACTGTCTATTAACACAAACCGTAGCAATTAGTGTAAAGAAAAAAAAAAACACCGGAAGGAAAGAGAAGAAAAGGGACAGAATAGCCTACAAAGGTTAGAAAAGGAAGAACCTAACTAAAGAGCACTAAACCCGGAGTGCACACAGAAGAAGATAATTTAACATCCGAAGATGGAGAGAGAAACCTGTCCCACCGTGGTCGCCAGAAATCTGTGGGTCTCCGAAAGGGTTCTGTTCATGTGGTTCGAATGTAAAGAGTACGACCGCACTATCCCGTAGGACAAAACGATCGTAAGCCTTTACAATCGACACAAGCAGACCAATGGAAGAGCAGATGGGGTTATACATATTATTATCCATCGAGGTTGGTAGGTGAAAGCCGCTACCCTCTATGGCTAATCGTATGTATAACTCCATATGCTCTTCCATTGGTCTGCTTGTGTCGATTGTAAAGGCTTACAACTGTTTTGTCCTACGGGATAGTGCGGTTGTACTCTTTACATTCGAACCACATGAGCAGAACCCTTTCGGAGACCCACATAGTATTCTTCCCTTCTCTCTCTTATTCCCCTTTCAAGCCTAAGAATGATTTCTCCACTGGGTATGCTCACCGAAGATAGAGTAAACCCCATTACCTCATTTATTGAATCACCTTGCTGGTCACTGGTGCCAATGACAATTTATGACTTCCTCTTGAGAAGACCTCCAGCTTCCAATAGTCATCTCTAGCCTATCAATGATCTTCGTCGATCACCCAAAAACAAAATCCCTTTGTACGACATCGATAGTGGTTGCTACCAACCGCATATCACTCTTTCAACCACTTCTCCGACCTCGACCTCTACACCTATTTGAACTAAGAAGAATAATGAGTGATATCTTGCAACCATTTATTTTTTGTCCTTTTATAGAGCAACATTTGTTGGTAGGTACAAAGGATTAGATGTGACTATGATCTTTAGTTTGGCAGTCGCCAAGCTTCAAAAATTAAATAAAATTTTATCCAAAACTTTGAGATTAAATTAGTTGAGGAAATTAGACTCTCAGTTAAAAATCTTCTATTTGGAGACTAAAGTTTTTAGGCACTGTCTTATGAGAGTCATCTTTGTACGACAATCCCTCCCACTCATTCATGGGAGTTGATTAAGGCTATTTAGATTCTCGATCCCTTGTTCATAAACTTATAATCATTTTTTACCATGTATTCACATGTATTCATCAATGCTCTTTGGAAGTTCCTTCTCTGTAATCTTAAAATGTTATCTGCCCTATGATGCCCTTTGGAAGTTCCCACTTGACAATCTTTTTTCTGCATTGCACCTTTGTATTCATCTATGCATTATATGCATGGCATCATCCTTTTCTTCCATGGCACCCTTGGTTGCCTTCCAGGCATTAGTAAGGAAGGTTGAGATGCTATCTTCTTTACATGCTACCTAATTAAGATTAAGTCCCTCTTCAAATTGGAGACATGCCTCACATCGTGAAACTTCTACGTAGTCTTATTATTATTCATGATTTACACTCTTACAATGTTCAAGATTACAACATGAATCTTCCCATAATCTCTAATTGAATAATCGGATATAAACTCTATATGTGGATTTAAATGAAATGACACTTTGAGTTCAAGATCAAGACTTTATAGTACTATTAGTGCTAAGGGCTTGTGCTTAATAAGTATCTTCATTTACAACATTAACAAAATTGCTCCATCTGATTTGAAATATGTTAGACCGACCCAACGGCCGGCTGAACCGGTCCACCTTGGACCGGTTCATGTATACAAAAGGCAGGCCCCGGGGGGGGAGGGGGGTGAGGGGGCGCAAAACCAGGGAGAGAGAGGGGTGGGGGGGCTAATGGATGTCCATACACTAATTAAGTTTTGCGTTGGAGGGAAAATTCAAATTATGGATTGTTTAGGGACTAACCATTTGTCCTTTCGCTTTAATTAGTCTCTTCTTGCTAGGGTTAGGGTTATCTTGATTTTGAAATCTGAATTTGAGATCTTTGGCTTGGGTTGTGGACTCTAGGCTTTGGCTAGAGATTTGGAGAGCTGAATCTTCCTTTCGAATTGAAGATTCATTGCATCGAGCTATTCTTCTATTTCTATTAGTGAATTTCAAGTGTTCTTCTTCATTATTTTTCTTCAAATTTTGAAAAATCTGCTCGCTGAATTTCTCTCAACAAGTTTTCCTTTGTTTGGCGGCTATTTTCTATCAAAATCAGTCTATCATTCCTTTGCGGACAACCTCCTTTTGTGTGGCTAATCTTGCCATATCACTAACATGTACTGCTGGAAACTTTTGATTTTCTTCTCAGTTGATATTAGGATTTATCTCATTGATGCCTCGTTCTATACAGCTTCCTCTAGTCTCAAAATTCAGAGCAGTAGAAGAATAACCTTCAATTGATTCTTGCGTTTTTATATCTTTATTTATTCAGATCAAGTCATGAACATCAATGAACTTTATCTTCATGGACCCGTATGAACTTACGATAGTTTTCACAATTAACTGCCTTCTATTAGTGATGATAATGAAACTTAATGCATGAACTTCATCATCGAAGTTGATATCAAATGAGCTCAATTGACTTGTGATCAAATTAAGGTCAGTTATATGCATTATTATGGAAGCACCTTCAACCGTTTTGATTCTAAAAAAAATTCTTATTAGATATATCTTCTTTACCATTGAAGGCTTCCCATACTTTTATAACAGAGCTTTTATCACACCAAGTCTGGTCCTTTCATGCAATCTTCTTTGTCAGTGACATGCATACAACTACCAATACATACTTATCTAGGTGATCTCAGCCTTCTTGGCTCATAGTTGTTGGCTTCAACTCAAAAAGGGATAAATATAAGTTTTTTTGGCATAGGTAATCTTCGATTTATATCTTCCAATATCTAAAATCCTTTCCATTGAATTGGTCAATGCTAATCTTCATAGCTTTGTATGTCATTACTCCCACTTTTATGTAAAAGTTCAGATCATTTTGCCATGATACCAGTTGCTAAGGTAAAGCGTACTCATGAGAGTAGTAATGATCAAATGAATGACAAAAATAATTTGCAAGGATAGCGTTAAGAAAAAAGAATGCAAAAGTTCATGTGATTTTATGAGATTCACTTACATTCACAGCCATACAAAGAGATAAATGTCCACTAGCTTATAGAAAACAAGATACAAATATTTACCCTTAAAATATTTTCCTCACTTTTGACTCACTAGTATTTTTTACTTTTTCTCTACATTTTGTTGAACGAAAGAGAAGAATGAAAAGAATGAATAATGCCTTCTAATTATTGATTTCTTCCTTTTTACAAAGCAACATCTAGTGGTAGATTTGAAGTATTATGTTTAGATATGATTTTGAGATGATAGTTACCAATTTAAAAAATAAAATAAAAATCAAGCCTTATCCAAGACTTTGATATCAAAGTGGTTAATGAAAAAATTAGACTCCGAACTTTAAAAAAAAAATTGCATGGAGAATATTTTCTAAGCGCCTGGTCAGATTCTTTTGCAAATACTATTGAAGTTCACAACATGGGCCAAATGATTATGAAGTGATAATTTGGTACTTTAGGCAATCCCATTACTAGTCGTGATCACTCCAATGGTTGCTACTCCAACATCCGCTTATATCTTTGTTTTAATGGAGGGGAAGAATGAGTGATGTATTGCAATCATTGATTTCTTATCCTTTTATAGAGCAACATTTGGTGATAGTTATGACCAATTAGATGTGAATAGAATTTTGAGTGTGACAGACACTATTCTTAAAAATTAAAATAATTACTTATCCAAAACTTTGAGATTAAAATGGCTGAGGGAAATCAGACTCTACACCTAATATAAAATATTGTGTTTTGAATCTTACAAAGCACTTGATCAAGATGCTTGTGCAAAGTACTATGGATCAATGAACGCTGTCTGTTTAAGAAAAATTATTATGTGCCGACGCCGAACGCCTTCGAGAGACTAATCAGAATGCGCCACGTCACCTCTGCTCAGTACCACTGCTCGGTACCGCTGACGTGGTTTCACCTTATTTGCCTTCGGATGTAGAGCTGCGTCCAGCATCCGCACAAAATAATCTCTCATGTTTAAAGCAGTTCTCACGCGCCAAATGATCATGTAGTCAAAATACCATATTGCTGGTGGTACATTTTACCATGAGAAGAATCCATATAAATGTATTCAACTGTGTCTCTTGTTGTTGTTGAATTTTCAAAAAGATGATTTCTTTTGTAGCATACAGAAAAATACTCAGAAACAAATGGTAAGTTTCTTAACGGCTAATATATTCCATACTCATTTATATATGCCCCTCGGGGACCTATAGTGATAGGACTATAGGAGCCTCTTGACATGGTCATGCCCTAATTGGCTGGAGTCAGTAAGTGCACTGTGATACCCTCATATTGTCTTATCTCCCTAAGAAGATGGCGAGGTAAGTATGTATGCAACTATTCATTAAAGGTGGTCGTTTCAAAGAATTTGGTTGCTCTTCTCTAGGTTTTGCGGTCCTTTTAAACAGAATTCATTGGCTTATTGTTATCACAGTGAGAGAGATTAAGTAATTCTCTTTTTTGTATTCTCTTGTGCGATTATTCTGTACTTTCTACTCATGGGGGTTATTAGTTAAATGGACTTCATTTGTTTTACAGGAACAACTAGGAGCAGTTGCAGTGATAGCAAGTCTGCCCAATCCTTCAGTGAAATTGGAATTGTCATCCTCGGTTCCATCAAATGGGTTGGTGAGTCACTCTGTATTTCTGTTAAAATGAGAGAATAAGGATAGAATCTGGCATCTAAGGCAACTATAATGGCAGTAAGGGAATGGTCTTTTCATCTTATAATTAACTAAAATTTTATACATGTAGTGCATCAATATCATCGATTGGCATATTAGGAAAGAGTAAGCAAGGTGCCACAATAGCAGACTATGTGACTGAAGAATGTGCCATTGTTGCAGCCAAGAGCAGCTTTGCAGTTTCCTTATGGTGAAATTGCATTGGAGCAGAGAGAGAATGTTGAAGAAAAGATTGAAGGCAAGAAAATTTTATCAGTTGATGGTATATTGAAAAGTCCGATGTTGAATGGAATCGGCACGGTTGTGTACAATGGAAATGATTTGAACCTTCGATATATTTATAAGGTGATTGATTTAGAATTTGCTTCTACTTATTTTAGTCTTGCTGTATGAACTGTTTTTACTGCTGCAATTATTTTTTTTTGGAAAAAATTTGCCTTAGCCTTGAGTGTTTATTATCATTTAATTAACCTGAATTCATTGTTAGGACACGAAATTGTCATTCATCCCATGTATCAATCTACCTTCAAATAAAGTGTCATTTGCATTTAAACGGCGATTCAGCCCTTCAGATAAATTTAGGTAATCTCTTCTCCTGTATTATCGTTTTTTTTTCATTTGTATAGTTTCCTTCAGTTTTTTCTGTATTTGTTCATCAAATCACCTCATATGCATCAAACGTTTTTCTCAAATCATTATGTTTCACTGCAATGCCATTAAAAGAGAAGTATAATACTAAGTTAAGTGTTGCAGAGATGAGGATGCTTAGGTTGATGAGTGGCTTTACCCTTAGAGATAGGATACGAAATGAGCATATACGTGAAAAGCTTGGAGTAGCTCCAGTGAAAGATAAGATTAGAGAGAGTCGCCTTAGATGGTTTGGTCACATTAAACAGAGGCCTTTCGATGACCCGGTTAGGAAAGTTGATGTATTAAATTTGACTTATGTTAAGAAAAGTAGAGGTAGACCTAAAAAGACTTGGTTAAAAAATATTTGAAATTATCTTTTTTTATTAGATTTAAATGAGAATTTGACTTTTAACGGGACATAATGGTGAAAAAGGATTCATATAGCCGACCCCACGTAGGCTTGATGTTGTTGTTGTTGTAGTATTATGTTTCACTGGAATATCACTACCAGTCATCCCCGCCTGTCCTGACAGCTCTCCACTCTTGATCTCTGCTCTTTCTCAACTTTATTATTTGAGAAGGTGGCATATATTTTATGGTTTGCCTGGAATAATAGTACAAAAAACATAGGATTTTGTTGTGCTTTAAAAGCATTGGCCATCTATTATATCTTTGTATTATACAGTTTGATATAGTCTTTTTCTTGATTTTCTTTGTAACTTGCTTGTAAATTTATGCATCTCATCTATATGTGAAGTAACATGCCATTATCGTATAATAACTTTGCTGTATGGATATAGAATTTTTATTTTTGGCTCCGCTGCAGTGGCCATGTTATTGCCCCCGAATTATGGCTTTTGAGGAAGTTCAATAAAATGAGCCTATTATACGAAAAATACAGCCTGTCATGTTTTTATGTTATTTCTTATCTTTAGAAAAATATGGCTTCATATCCTTCTCAGACTGAGGGACCTTAGCAATCCTCGTAAATATCTGAATGAAAAATCAGCAGAACAGAAAATTTTCACATTGCTGTGGTTGCAATTTGCTCATTATACACTCCAAATTTTCACCTGCTTTCTTTGTTATCTTCTTACCATAATGATTTATAATGTGAGTTTCATTTCTGCAACAATACTCTCCAGGCTCATTGAGATTCACAGATAATTCAGATTCATATTTAGGGATTGGTCTTACCTCTCTTTGTATTCTCTATATTGATTGGTTCTTGTTAGGCATGTTTTTTCTTCCATTGCTAGTTAATTAAGTAAAAGGTTATTAGGGCCTCTAAAATGCATCATAGGTGCTTCTGACGTCTACTATTGGAACAAAGAAGATCAATATTTGGCCACCTATAGGCGGTCTTATGGGAGCTCAGGTATTATAAAGTGCTGCTGTTTGCAATATGTTAGGCCGGCCCAGGAGGGGCTGGCTGAACCGGTCCAACCTTGACCGGTTCACTTCTATAGCCGGTGGCCCAAATCCAGGGGGCGGAACCAAGGGGGAGGGGTGGATGCCCTAGTGGGCCCAAGCAATTAATTAAATGATTGTTTAGGAGGGAAACTTGAATTAGGGGCTGTTTAGGGATTATGTAGGTTTCATTTGGCTTTAATTAGTTTTTTTTGGGCTTGGGTTTGGGGTATCTTGAATTTGAAAGAGATTTGAGATCAAGGTTTTGTTCTTCTTTGGCTCTAGGCTTTGCTAGAGATTTGGAGTTGTTTCTTCCTCTCGAATCAAAGAAACTTATATCTTGTATTGATTTTCTTGTTCGTGGATTGAATAGAAGAAATTCCCTTGTGTTCTTCCAATTTTTCTGAAATTTCTGCATCTTATTGCTGATTTCTCTCTGAAGTCAGCAGTTTTTCTCGCTATTTTCATCAATTGTTGTTAGATTTGCTTGTGAACTCAAGTATTTCCTTTAGGGTTACTTGCGAACTCAAGTACTTCCTATCACAATAAGTATCATTACTGTTATTATAATTGCTTCATACAACCGTTTGCCTATTTCTTTTGTCTAGTTACTGGTATCATTTTGACTCGAGTGCATGGAGTGCTGTCTATAAACACACCATTGGAAAAGATCTCAAGATTAAAGCTGGTTATGATTCGGATGTGCGTCTTGGCTGGGCATCTCTCTGGGTAGGCTTACATTTTCTCGTCTCCAAATAAGTTCTGTTACACGATTCCTTCAGCAAGATATTTGTGAATATATCATATATTGTTTCTTTTTAATTGAAATTTTTTTCTAACGGTAATGTTTTTCTTTGGTTATTCAAATACTTTGTTTTCATTTCGTTACAATTAGCTTGGTCACCTTTGCTTTATTATTTAAAAAATTCTGCAACCGTTCAAACAAAAAGTATTGAAATGCTTTTAAAAAATGCGGGCAAAACGCTCAATTTAAATGTCAAAAAAGGTTGATTCAAATTGGTCCTCCTGTAAAAGTAGTCTCTGCATTCAAAATTGAAAGGATTTTATCATTAATGGAATGTATTGCCCTGACATCTATAGGTTGGGCCTGAAGATGGAAAAACGAAGGACGCACCTAGGAAGCTGAAAGCTCAAATGATGCTCCAAGTTCCTCAAGATGGCATCAAAAGCTCTGCTCTTATGTTCAGAGTGAAAAAAAGATGGGATTTTTAGCTCTTTCGGTTGTCTTTGATTTTCCAGCCATGTAAGTTGTCAAGTCATAGCGTTCTTAATTCATTTCCATCTTACTATTTAGATTTAGTTTTTTTACTCATCCTTAGTGTTAAACACCATGTGTTAACTTTATCTTTGCTTCAGTCATTTTGCACAGCTCATACTCATGTTAATTTTAGTCTACATATATGCGATGGGAACTTTTGTATATATATATATATATATATATATATATATATATATATATATATATTAATTCTACTATAATTTCTTTTAGGATTGTGTAGGCAATTTTTCAATTGTATATATGATCAAGGTGGATTCTAAGTATATGCTAATTTTTGAATTGCCATTTGGGACAAGGGATTGAGCCTAATGCTTGGAAGCTTCCTATTGGAAATTGGGGATTAGATGAGTGCATGATGGAGCTTGTTCTAGCTTTCCACACGTTGTCCTATGTTGTCTCATGCAATGGCATAAGGATTCTATGGATTTGATTTTAGTGGTTTACAATGAGGTGAGGTGCTTAAAAGAGAAGCTTAATATTAAGTTAAGTGTTGTAGAGATGAGGATGCTCAGGTGGATGAGTGGCTTTACTCTTAGAGACAGTATACTTAACAAGCATATACGTCAAAAGGTTGGAATAGCTTCAGTGGAATATAAGATTAGAGACAGTCGCCTTAGATGACTTTGTTACATAAAATGGCGGCCTTCTGATGATCCAATTAGGAAAGTAAATGTATTAGATTTGGCTTATGTTAAGAAATGTAGAGATAGAACTAAGAAGTCTTGGTTAGAAATTATTAGAAATGATCTTTCTTTATTAGATTTAAATGAGAATTTGACTCTTAACATGACCCAATGGAGAAAAAGGATTCTTAGCCTATCTCACGTAGGGGATTAAAGGCTTGTTGTTATTGTTGTACATTGAGGTGAGGCGCTTACTCAGTATTTTGAGTGTTGAGAGCTTGTGTGAAGCTTTGGGAGAATGCGTTGGAAGAGGTTATATTAAGAATATCTCCTGCATTTTGGCAGGCAAGCTTTGCCTTAACAAAGTCGGCAAGAACTTTCTTTGCTTGCATGAGTGATGTGTTATCTATGTTCAATGAGGCGTATGATGAAGCTTATGAGTATGATCCATGATTGAATATTTCTCTTGTTGATTTCTATATGTTTACACTTGATTTATAATTTATGCCATCATACAAGTGGATATGTTGAATCCATATTAAACATGTGTGATTAATGATTGTTGTCACTATGATATGTGACATGATAATGATTTGGTAAGAGAAAAGTTGTGTGTGTGTCTGTATGTATGTATATATATACATATATACATATATATATGTACGTATATATATACACAAACACACATACATATATATGATTGTTGTCACTATGATATGTGACATGATAAACATGTACAGTCACACAAACACACACACACACACACACACACATATATATATATATATATATATATCTGTGTGTCTGTTTGTGTGACTGTACATGAATGCAAGAATAGTTATAATTCTTTGAAATATTTAGAAGTCTTAGAAAAAGGATGTGTTTGTGTTACAATTAATGATTGGACTAAGGGTATGTTTGAGACAACTTTTTGATTGTTTTTTTAAGAATGCTATGACATCATTTGATCATTGTTTTTTTTGCCATTTTTTAGAAATTTTTATGATGGAAAACAGCTTTTCAGCTTTTGATGACTAAATTTTCTAGATAGTGAGTTGCAAGGAAAATTATTATCCGACCTTTTCACCCAAAAAACATAATACTCAAAGTAGCTTCGAAAAAATTATTTTTTCCATAAAAATTTATAGTTATATTTATAAAATATTGTAGCCATCTCAAACGAATCATTAAGCTTTTAAAATCTTGCAAAAATGATCTAATTATAATCTTGTGATTGAATGATGATGATGTTAATGCTGATTTAGTTTTGTGTAATTGATAGATGAAAACTTTTTATTATGAGTATCTTACAATGATATGTTTGTGTTTCATCATCCATATATATATCAACTCCTTTTTCCCGTTGCTTTTTATGTCAGACTTTGACTTCGTTTGGGACAGCTTTCTTACTGTTGTATAAAACAACTTTTTAGTACAAAAATTTCTAATTCTAAAATTTTTTGTACTAAAAAATGGTTTCATAAAGTAGTAAGAAAGCTGTCTCAAAAGAAGCTTTTTGTATTGAATTTTATGCTCATACCTACTATCCATGTATCATGTTCCAGATGATCTGAAGGGACAAGGACTAAGGTTGATGGCCTGGAAGGATCATTTGAGCCAACCTCCATTGATGACGGATGGTGGAAGGATGTCATGTTGTAATGTTAGTTTATATGATGAATATTGAATGTTGAAGTTGTACAGACTCTTTATGGTAATTTATGCCATTGCATTGCTTTTTTTTTCTGCCATCTAATGACTGTTTGAGTTGGCTTTTTGTTCTTATATGGAATGCATTCAATTGAGTGATAGAGCTTGAACAAGATCTTTTGAACTTGAGCTTAAGAACTCAGCTCGTTCGTATTTGACTCATTTGCATAGTATATAAGCTCGAATAGTCGAAGAAATAACATCACTAATCTTCACAAAAGGGTGCTCCCTTGTCGAATTGACAAAGGGCGCTTTGTTGTTGAAGTGACTATCTTAAACTAATCAAAGTGTTTTTCTCTTGAGTTTCTTTCAAAAATTTGGCAACTAAAGGATATCCACTTCTTGAATTTGACTATTCTTCAACTAATTGAATAGTATTTCTCTTAAGTTTTTTTTTACGGGTATTTCCTCATTGAATTGAGTTATTATTAAACTTTAAGAGTTTTTCTCTTGAGTTTCTTTTACAATCTTGGGCTATCGTTGAGTTTTACAATTATTCACCTAATTAAAGGATATTATGCTCGAGTTTTTCTTTAAATATTGTGGTATTTTTGAATTAATCAAAGGGTATTACCTTCTTGAATTTGGTTATGCTTCAACTAATTGAATAGTATTCCTCTTGAAATTATTATTCAACATTGTGATATTCTTCATTAAATATAAGGGTAATTTCTTCTTCGAAATTTGACATTATTTAATTTATTGAAGAGTATTTCTCTCAAGTATTATTTATAAATTTTGGATTATTCTACAATTAATTGAAGGATATTTCCTCCTTAAATCTAATTATTATTTAATTTACTAAAGGGTATTCATTTGAGTTTCTTTTACTAACTAATAATATTCCATCATTTGATCTTTTTATCGTTCAACTGGCAGAAGTGTATTTTTATTTTTCAATTATAAATTCTAAAATTTTTTAACTAATTGAAGGTGTTTTCTATTTGAATTTCTATATCCTTCAACTAGCTAATGGGTATTCATCAAAGTCCTACATAGGGTCCTGGTTGGGTAACGCGCTTTGCACGGGCGAGCTTCGCTCACCCATGGTGACTTTCGGGATGTTGTATTTACCTATACACATCCACTTTCAATGCTTTTTGAACGCAATCTACCTTAGACTAATGGACTTGAGGCTTGTTGTGCTTTGCTCTGGCTGCAAACTTTCAAGCCGCATATCAGAATTTACCATGGTGGCAATGCGGTTATGTGTTGCATACTACGTAGTGAGGATTACGATAATATGCAACATATAATGATTAGCAATATAAATCAAATTATCATCAATGTTGAGTACCTACCCATACCCACCCATACCCATTGGGTGTTTGTGGGTATGGGTACCCAATGCAGGGCTATGATATTCATCTAATGTTATTTTAATGGATGTTCATTCATTGAATGTGATCATTGTTCACCTAACTAAGGATATTACACTTGAATTTTCTGCTAAACTTTCAATATTCTTTAACTTATTATAAAATATTCCCTCCATGAATTTGACTATCCTTCAACTAACAAAAGGATATTATACTTAAGTTTTTTTTTTAAATATTGAAAAATTATTCAATTAATCTAAAGTTGTTCCCTTCTTGAATTTGGCTATCCTATAACTAATTGAATATCATTTCTTTCAAGTTTATTTTTCAATATTGTAATTTTTCAACCAATATACTGGTATTTCTTCCTTGAATTTTAATATTATTTAACTAATTGAAGGGTATGCTTCTCTAGCGTTGTTTCCAAATTCCAAATTTTCCTCTAATTAATTGAAGGGTATTTCTTCCTTGAAATTAATCATTATTTAACTTACTAAAGGATATTCGAGTTTCATTCACAATCTTAGACCATCCTTCAACTAACCAAAATGTAGTTAGTCTTCTAATTTTGGTATCCTTCAATTGAATGAAGGGGTTTTCTATTTCAAATCATTAATTATCCTTCCAATCATGAATGTTGTATTCTTATATTGAAATTGCTAATTGTCTTTATAAAGATCACTGAATCTTCAATGTCATTTGCAATGAACTTAGAATTTACCCACTTTGATCAATGTGAATGTATCCTAGTAACTCTCTCTTTGATGGTTGCTCTTGGCATCCCCATTGAGCAGCCGCCCTTTCACTCGCACCTCACCAAGGATCATTCATTAAGATCAGGCACTATAAAGCTCTCTACGGGTCTTAATGCTCAAAGGAACTCTCGAGACTCAAGTTAAGGAATGAAATCTTTTCGTGAAGGAACAGTAATCTCAGTTTATTAGTCCACTACATCTTTTAAGGCTTTACGACCTCTCTTTAAAGACATATTAAACCTCAACATGAGTGAGTTAGAGTTGTGAAGTCTAAAGTCTTCGAGGCATTATTTCCTAAAGTAGATTAAATGCTCCATATACAAATAATAGTAAATCTCAGAAGCGATAAACTAATCTTGAACCTACTAAATCGTGGTCAATTTTATTTCCTTAAGGTTGGGCTATAATTCAACTAACCCAAAAAATATTCCCTCATCTTATATTTTTATCATTCAACTAGCCAAAGTGTATTATCAATTATCATTTGTAAAATTTATATTATCCTTTAGCTAATTGAAGGTATTTCCTCTTCAAATTTGGATATCCTTCAACTAACTGAAAGATATTTCTCTAAAGTTTATTTCAATTGCACGCTATCTTTCAACAATTTGATGGATATTCATTTATTGAATTTATTGTCATTCATGTAACTAAAGGGATTGCTCTCCAATTTCTGTAAAACCTTCAAAATCCTTTAAGTAATTGAAGTGTATTCTCTCTTTGAATTTGACTATTCCTAAACTAATTGAAGGATATTATGCTTGAGTTTTTTTTTTTAATTTTGGAAAATTTGTCAATTAATCAAAGTGTATTCCCTTCTTAAAATTGGCTATTCTTCAACTAATTGGCTAATATTCCTCTTGAGTTTATTTTGTAATATTGTGTTATTCTTCAACTAATTAGATAAAGGTATTCCTTCCTCAAAATGTGATATTATTTAGATAATTAAAGTGTATTTCTCTTAGGCATTTTTTTTCCTAAATTTTGAATGTTCCTCCAATTACTTGAAGGCTATTCCCTCTTTGAATATAGTTACTATTTAACTTACAGAACAATATCCTTCTTGAGTTTCTTATTCAATCTTGAGCTATCGTTAAACTAACCGAATGGTATTTACTCTAATTTTCGATATCCTTCAACTAATTGAAAGGCATTTCTATTTCAAGTCACTAGTTATTATTCCAATCATGAATGTTATATACCTAAATTAATCTTGATTGTCCATATAATGATCATTAAATCTTAGAGGGCATTCTTATTGAACTTAGAATTTATCCATTTTGATATAGGCTAATGCCTAGTTTGTTAGCCCCACACACTAATAAGATCTATTTGTGACCTCCATTATAATAAAAGTTCCACCTAATGATCATTCATTAAGATCAGGTGCTGAAAAGCCCTCTATGGGTCTTAATGCTCAAAGTAAAGGAACTCTCGGGACTCAAGTCAAGGAATGAAATCTTTTGATGAATGTATTGTAATCTCGGTTTATTAGCCCACTACACCTTTTAAGGCTTTATGACCTCTTGTTAAAGACATATTAAACCTCAACATGAGTAAATTAGAGTTCTGAAGTCTAAAGTCTTTGAGGTCTTATTTCCTAAAGTAGATTAAATGCACCATATCCAAACAATAAGAAATCTCATAAGCTATAAACTAAACTTGAACCGACTAAATCGTGGTCAATTTTATTTCCTTAATGTTGGAATATCAGTTAACTAATCCTAAAAATGTTCACTTATATGATATTTTTATCACTCAACTAGCCAAAGTGTATTATCAATTATCATTTATAAAATCTAGATTATCCTTCAGCTAATTGAAGATATTTCCTCTTCAAATTTGGATATCCTTCAACTAACTGAAGGGTATTCTCTAAAGTTTATTTCAATTGCATGCTATCTTTCAACCTGTTGATGGATATTCACTCATTGAATTTATTGTCATTCATGTAACTAAAGGGATTGCTCTCAAATTTTTGTAAAGCCTTCAATATCCTTTAACTAATTGAAGTGGGTCTCTCTTTGAATTTGACTATTTCTAAACTAATAGAAGGATATTATGTTTGAGTTTTTTATTCCAATAGATTTTCTTTGAGATTTCATGTGTGAATTCTCATTTGCCTTTTCTTGATCACATCATATTCTTTAGGTTAGGAGGACAACAATGCCAACCACATTCCAAAACTTAACTTTCGATAGTGATTATTGTTGTCATTGAGTGATGCAGATTACCGACAACGCTCTTCCTCCGATGATCTCCTTTGCTCAACATCCATTGAAACTATAATTGCCATTAATCTTCCTCAAAACAACATAACATCCACTTTGGAAAACAATCGTTACGCTAACAACCATGGCCACCTGTCTTCCAACAATCATTGTTGCTCTTTCAGCACCACTTGGAGTCAATTAACACCTGTCATCACTCATTCTTTAACACAAGTTCCCCAACTGTTGTCGATCAATGCTAAATTATGTTGTTTTCCAACCATATACTTATCAACTTCGTCGCTTTCTGACACTCACCACCACTATTGCAGGAGACATTCCTTATAGTTAATATCTTAATTATCCTTATTATAAAGGAAAATTTTTTGTAATCTTAAATGCATATAATAGAGTATTTCTTTGTTTTTTCCACTTTTTTAAAATTTTCATATAAATTTTTTTATGTCTCAATATGTTATAAGCATTTTAATTGTACCTCTAAAATATTCATATAGACTATGATGATAAACTTTTCATAAACTCTAGAAATATTCTAACACAACTAATATGATTTTATTACTATTAAAAAACAACTTGATGTCTTACAAAGAATTTGAAACAAGCTTGGTGTCAAATTTGATGCTTCTAGATTGATATTTTTTAGGGAAAAATAATAAAATCCAATAATTATAAATAAATTTTGTCCTAAAGCAATCATATATAAAATTAAATTGGGTCAAGAAATAATGGCCAATTTTTTTACTAGAATCAAATTAAAATTTATAAAATTTAATATATATAGCTCAATATTATCGTTGGCTTGTCCTAAACTTGGATGAAAAAAAAAAAATAAAAATTATGTTAGATAGTCTACAACCAATATTAAGGGGCTGTTTGGTAGCATCCAAAAATTGATTTAAGTAGTATTTCATAAATAGGCTAAATCTGGATTTCGAAAATCCTGAAGGGCTTAAATCCTAAAACTGTTTGGTAACATTCTATATTATTATTATTATTATTATTATTATTATTTTATAGCATAAAATAAATTCAATAACATCAGTATTTATTATAATAAAATATATGGATTTTTACATACATAACACTTAAAACTATTAAAAATACATATTTAATACCTAAACTTTTATATTTACTAATATACCACATAAAATCTTATTTTCTTTCTATTCTACCACTCCATTGAAGTGATGAGATACTTGTATTCATTGTGAAAGGATACCATTAACGGGGAAGACATTTGTTGATAGTAATTTTTGACAAAAGTTTTAAACGGAATGTTAGAATTAATTAAAAGATGAATTTTAGGTGGTATATTAGTAAATATAAAAGTTTAAGGGTTAAATATGTATTTTCAATAATATTAAGGGTTATGTAGGTAAAAATCGCATATTAAAATCATATCTAAAGTGAAAGATCTTCTTACCTCTACTCGCGTTAGCGGAGCGGAGCGAAAGATGCTGCCGCCGATTCCAAGCCTCTATCGGCTGCCGCCGCCGTCTTTACCTTCTTTCTTCCCCTATTCCTTTTCCTCTTCCATTGCCGGGAACCGCCGGCTGAACCTTCATGGGGGCTGCTGGAGACATGTATTGCCGTCGCGGAATGTAGCGGTCATATGTATGGCAAATCAGAGGAGAGTGAAGATGGTGGCAAAGCAGATTAGAAGGGAGCTTTCTGACATGCTGCTTACCGACAAGGTCATCAAGTACGCAGTCCTCCCCGAGGCGTCTCTAGGCGCGGACCGCTACCTTTCTTCTCTCACTACAATCAGCGACGTTGTGGTTTCCGGTGACCTCCAGGTGGTTCTTCGAACCTCATAGCTCTTCCTTTCAGTATTACTGGGTTATGATAAAATTAGCTTCGTTTGGCCACCGTTTAGTGATTTGTCATGGATATCGACAAATTTGAATCGTTGCATCTTACTGATTTGGTTCGCGTGACTTCATCTTGTCCTTAGGAGAGAGATTTGAAAAGGGCCAGAAAACCATGTTCGTGTGCGTAGGGGCTGTTAGATTCATCTGTGTTTGCTATGTAAGGTCAATGCTATTGGCGTATATCAACGGCTTAGCTTTGTGACATCTTCGAATAAAAAAAAAATGCGTGCAACTTCTTTTCTTAATGGCCTTTGTACTTCAGTCTCTAAATAGTTTTACTTAGAGAGTATTGGATTTTGAACAGTTGCAAGAGTCTTGATAGGAGCCTATTTTTGAATAAATCACCTTCTTCGGACTTGTTACGTCCAGGAGTATTCGCGGCGATAGAGAAATATAAAGTTTATCGTCAAGATGATTTTGTGATGACGTATCAGGACTCAAACCCTATCTTCTAGTTCAACCCATCAGTGACATTAGAGCGAGCTTAGGTTTGGGCTAGTTAACTTGGCTTGTATTCTCGTACTGGGGTCCTCCTTGATGCTCATAGGCATGATTATGAGCCGAAAAGTCATTCGATGCGCGAAAAGCTTCTTTGTGCCATCAAAAGTTGAAGAAATGGCTTGAGGATCCTCTTGAAAGCCTCCATTCATTAGAATCATGTTAAAGCATTGATATTACCCTTGCCCCAATAGGGGTTGACAAATGTAACAACATCTGAACACCCATGTCCTGACATTCGTAGGGGCAACAAAAATTGCTAAGCTTTGGTTATTTTAGTTATATGCAAGTACACATGCCGATCATGCGATATAAGATGAGAAAAGTATCATTCTCATGATGATACAAAATTAATTTATGAAAAGTTGAATACTAATCTATGTTATCGTTAATTTTATTCAACACTGGTAAAAATTGTAATACCTACTTCTAGATGTAATCTTAATCTAAATTGAGAGAAAATTGGATTTACAGTTTCATCAAAATACTCTTCTTCAGTTTCATTATCTGCTTAATTTATAAAAATGATTGATTGCCAGTAACTAATACATTTATTTTCTTATCTCTTCCAATTTTAGAAAATCTAATCACTTCGACTAAATTGACTATATGCTTATGTGAATTTGTGAACTAAATTAAAGAGATTGCTATATAATTCCATTCTTATGAGATTGCACGTTCTATTTAAGTATATTCCAATTTGAAACATAATCTTGTTGATTTATCTTTTTCAGTGCATAAAATAACTATTTCATAATCATTAAATGTTGTAGAATGTGAAGTTGATTAAAAATCTTGTTTACATTGAATTGAGACTTGTTTTTTGTCCATATTGAACAAAAACCTTATTGTCCTGTTTAAATATTTTGAATTAAGAGGAATAGTTTTTGACGAGAATGTGTATTATATTTTTAGCATCTATAAAGTGTAATGTTTCCTCTTAAACTAGTGTGTACTAGATGGATGCAAATTTTTTTTGTAATGTGATGTGAGTATTGATGGAAATTTAGGGTGCATGTTTATCCTTTTACTAGTGTAAAACTTAGATATTTTTAAGTGGTGATTTTTACCTTTAATTTTTTTTATCAAAATAATTTGTGCTGCTTATGCCTGCATAATTAAGTTTTGGTCAACTCTCTTTTTTTTTTTATACGATGTAAATCCTAATCGCTATGTTATTTTTATTTACTCTTTCTTTATTAGACTTAAATGAGAATTTGACTTTTAGTAGCATACAATGGAGAAAAAGGATTCATGTAGCTGATCCCACGTAGTGGGACAAAGGCTTGATGTTGTTGTTGTTGTTTTTGTTGGATTTTTTATAAATCTCAAGATTTTGCGATCTTTAGATTATTTTTTGGCATGATTTTATACTCCTTGTGATTTTTGCATCAACAATGATATAGTTTTTCCTTGCTGAGGAGTTGGAAGATTGTGAATTTTGATATTTGGTGTATTTCTTTGTGCATCTTATCCCAATCTTGTATTAGTAAAGCCTTGAATCTAAGACATCTTTGCGTTAAATTGGGCTTCAAAAGATGTTTGTGGTGCTGTAGTAAAGAGTTAATTGTTGTTGATCAATGCACTTTCTAGGCCTGAAGGAATCAACAAAAGTTATATTGAGTGTATCTATCATTGAAATCTCCCCCATAAGGAATATAGCTACAAACAGAGTTTATTTTAATTTAGGGGTCTATCTTTCTCAAAGGAATAAGCTTCTAAGGTTAATTACATCTTGGGTGTATCCAAGAATACTCTTGATTAACGAGCCAATGCTTATGTTCAAATTTTTTAGGATTTATATTCACTGGGGTTTTATAGTGGATGAAGGGGATAGGATACCATAAGTGCCAAGAGTATGTCTAAACTATGAGACTAATGGATGGGCATGAAGGGTATTTCTTCCATGTGATGGAGAAAATCCAACAACGAGACTTACTACGTGTGAAATCAAGAACTCTAAGTTGATTGAAAACCATTCTCACCTACGTCTTCCTCATCAGAAACAAAAAAAAAAAGTTAGGAGAGCTACTAACATCCATTCATGTAGTAATATGTGGTTTGGGACTCGAGATATAACCTATACTTTGCCCATTATGGGAAACTATAGGTTCATAATTTTATGCATAGCTTGGCTTATTTGGAGGGGCAGGTACTAGCAAGATAAGCATATTGTATGTAACATCTAGAAAGGGATAAAATACCATGAAGCAAGAACATCTTTGATTATATTGTCATAATCAAGATCAAATTTGGTTACATATGTATCATTATTAAAAGTAGAATCGACATGATGATAAAAGATGTCTCCCTTTTGATATTGTTCTCTTGTAGAATGAGTGCAACTCCTCAACTAATTGCCCCCTAAGAGGTGCCAAATCTTTGATTTGGTGTGATGAATTTGGTTCAATTGAATGCTATCATCATAAAGGTGGAGATGTGCCATGCAGTAAATTACAACTATTGATTTATCATTTGGACCTAGTAGGCCGTCATCCTCTGAATTACCAGAAATCAAAGTTATTTTTCTAACTTGAGCTGGCATCAAGTAAACATTTGTATCATTTTAACTGTTAGAATTTATTTCAAGGTGAACTCATGCTATAGGAAGCTTAGGAAGGTTATGTATCTTTCAGGTCTATCTTTTATCACAACCTCTTCCTTTACCTCACCCTACCGTCAGCCCAATTAGCCACTCTTCCTACTTTTTGAGGAGGGCATTTGAATGGCTGTGGTGTGACATGTTGATACCTTTGGAGAGAGGAAAGAGGAGGAGATGTCTATTTCTTTGGTAGATAATACTCAACATTATCATAAATGCCCACCTCATTCATTTTAAATGGAGGAATGTCACTTGTATTATGGTATTTGATACCTGCATGCATATATTTTATGCTGTGGTGAAGTGTAGATCGAACCATCTCTTGTTCATATGGCTATGACCCTCCAAATAAAGCCCTGTAGGAAACAAAACAATGGTGATATTTTGATGGATCCAAGTGATCTTTGCCCCTTTTCATGATATCCACGTAACATAAGCTGTTAGAACATAAACTTTGTATATCCAACAAAAGAGAATCTCAAGTCTTCATGTTGATCAAGCTCACAAAAGAACCAGGATCAAGACTAATGTGGTTCAATTGACTTCCACTAAGCTGGGCTGTGGCATAAAGAGGGCGGTTGTGCTCTATAATATCCAAGGGGTTTCATCTGAAAATATAATTTTAAGAACCTCTTTAAGATAATGAGCTTTATCCATAGACTCTTTTGTAAAGTAAGCTTAATAGATCATATATCCTGAGCATTGATGGAAGCTTCTGCAGATGAGGAAGGATGTTATAGTCCACAATGTAAGGTGCAGGCTGTCCTTTCTCCTTTGCAGACGAAGGTTGAGGGTGAATGTCATCCTCCTGAATAATAATATTTTTACCCTTATCTATAGCTGTAGATGTGACTTTTGGAGCTAGAGGTGGCATAATTTTGCCACTGAGTTGAATTTATCCCACTTCTTCAAATTTTGGAGTGATGTGGACCCTATGGAAGCCATGCTTTCTTTGTTTAGTTCATTGAGAGGAAGGTGCGGGTGAATCTTCAAACTTAATCTTATAAGTACTAGTACAAATATTGAATAAGAAATAATATAAGCAACTAAATCATCATTCATTTCAATAGAAAAAGGATACATCATGTGATACAGCTTTGGTAGACACTGCCTTTTTTTTTTCCCCCTAGTCCCATTAGTAATATAATCCTCAGGGATGTCTATCTCCGCAGAAAGAAACTTAAAATCTAGCCAATCTTTGAATACAAATCACTCATCAACGGTTTGGCCTAGGATTTCATGAAAAGGAAAATTGGTGGGATCCTTTGTCTTGCCCACTTGCTCTGGCTTCTTAGGTGGGGACAGCTCCATTCTCTGTTTCCTTAGATTCTTAAAGATCTTGCTTAAACAATCCTTTCTGAATGGATATGTTTGATTCCTTTTCTCTTCAACTGTAAATGACTTTTTTTGGCTGCCTTGGAGGCATAGGCTCAACAATAACCACCATATTTTTATCCTTTTCAGCTATTGCATATGCTGCATGTCCTTTTTGATTTTTTGGCTTGTTAACATTGGAGAAAGCTTCACCTTCTTGAATTTGCCAGAAGAATTAGAGGACTTATATGCCTTGGGTGATACCAAATATACCTCATAATTTGAAATACTGGCTACCTTTGAGAAGCTTCTTAAGTGACTTGATGGAGGAGAACTTCTAAAATACAGTTGTAGTTCTCTTGATGTTCTTAATAAGCTCAACTGCATGTTCAAGTTGTGCCACCTCAAAATATAATTAAATAAGGACTTCAACTTTTTCCTCCTGGTCATAACAAATATCAACCACAGTAACTTTTGAGCACCTGTAAATTTTTTGACGAACTACTCTTCT